CTCTTTTTATGCCGGTCCGAACATGGCACGACTGATCGGGTTCATTTATCAATCGGTCGGATGGTCCAGCCGCAACAAGGGACCTGGTGCTTGCCCAGCTAACCCGAGCGATGATTCACACCTTGTCTTTAGCCGTGGGTCTTAGGCAAGCCCAGTGAAATTCGACTGTCCAGCGGGATTGTGATCACCACACGGACGGACTGGACCTGATAACAAGAGCAGTACAAAAAGTACAAGCCGATAATCAGACAGTCTCCTGTTTAGATGAGGGATTCCAAATACAAAAGATCGCGGAAAATGATCCAATAAAATCAGAGAAAGGGTCAAAGAAAATTTACTTTTTCGAGGTCACGGGTGAGGGGGACAAAACAATGTGAAACGATAGGGCAATCGCACTGCAATACACTTTTCATTGAGTTTATGTTTTCCTAGCGCCCTACAGTTTAGAATGCAAAATATTTTCATGGGACAATTTGTACCGTATTTTTGTGGTAAAATTTTACCTCCTCCAGTGGCGGAATTATTGTGGCCGTAAAGAAAGCAGCTGCAGCTCTCATGAGCCTGACGCCCGAGTTGATCGATGAAATCCAAATGATTCGGTGAGTTTCTATGCTTACATAATTACCATTTATTTCACGGAAAACCCAATTTTGACTGAATAATATAGTGATACGGTTAAAGATGCTCCTGACTAAGTAGACAGGTCCACTTTTATCTTAGTAACTTTCTTGAGGCGAAAGTCACACTGCAAATCCATTTAACACCCATAGACAAAGCATTGAAAATCGGTCTTCGTAACTCGGGTGAACTGAATTCCATTTCATCTAATTACCGAGCTTGGCAATTTGTTTGCAAATATTTCATCGCCCGGCGAGGTGCATCTTCAATGCTTGTGAAGTGGTGGTGTTCTGCTTGTTCCCGTTCACTTTATGTGTTCTTCACCGACTTGTTTGTTTTCTCCCCCGTTTTCACTGTGTTTGATCTGGTTTGTTGTTGAGCTGGTGCGATGAGGTGAGTGTGGAATTATTTAATCAGATTGGCCACGCTTGTAAATTCATCAGAATAAATTTGATTCAAAGAAGGAAATAAAAGGCAGGAGGAGAATCGGCAACAATAACAAAACCGCACATTAAGGACATTTCACAATGACAGGGAGACTGCTCAGATCATATGGAATTCAAGTAGACCACAAAACGATCACTTATTTATGGTGAATTCTCTCAAATCAAAGGAGAAAACAATGGAGATATACAAAGTAAACTGGAAGAAAAGTATCGAGAAAGATCCGTGAATATCAATCGGCAATCAGGAGGCATGATCCATTATCGCTGAATTCCCTCCACCAGGATCAAGAAGTATATGATCTCGACTTGGAATCAGTAGGACTCATCGACCAAGTGGGGTTAAATTACGTTACA